TTTTTTTTTTTTTTTTTTCCGAAAAGTTGCAATGGCAGCGTCCCAAGCTCTGTTTTTTCTTTTGAGGGTCAACTTGCAAAGAACTTGGATCTTCAGAATCTGTGTGGCATTGCGTGGCCAACTTGTGCCTCAGAGAGTCTTTTGTTCAACCTGCCATGCCAGTTTGCATCCCTGTAATGTGAGCTCCAGAGCAGATGTGTCCTGCGTCGCTGAGGTTGGAGGCGCTGCCTTCAGACAGTCTCCAAGTGCTGCTTGCTCCAGCTGCTGGAAAACATGCTGGCAAGTTGAGGCAGCGTCAGATGAGCTTGCCGAGCAGTTGACGGCAAGGGCAATACTCGAAGCTGAGGAGCCATGCGGACTCAGCCTCAGCCTCGGCAGCTGTGCAGCTTTTGCTTCTTCAGGACGAGCTGCGAGACAAGGCAGTCAAGAGAAACTGCTCGTGCACCGTGCTCTGCATCTTTTTCTCCTGGAAAATCAGGGCCTTGATGACCCGACAGTTCATGAAAAGGCCTTGAGCTGCGCTGTTCGCCCTTTCTTACAATGAACCTCGTCTGGTGTGCATATGTGTTGTGAGTCCTCCGAGCTCTACACACTGCGTTCCCTGGTGGAGCGCTTGCAGACAGAGCGCGAGTATCTTGCAACTCGCTGGAAACAAGAGAGTAGGAAGGAGAATCAGGAGATGGGCAAATGACAAAAGAATATCGGCGTTGTGGTGGACAGAAGATTGATTGAGTCGTCAAAGTTGTTGGATGAGCTTGTGGTTGGGTTTCCAATGGTTTCGAGCACACACACGCCTGCCTAAGGTACAGAAGGACCTAAGTCAAGAGGCTGAGCTCAAGGATTTGCGAGGAGTTGCTTATTTGCAAACCATCATGGGAGACAGTCGGTGGTCAGAAAATGGGCGCAAAAGACTGGCCAAGCAGTGTACCCGCTTTGAAGATCAGGCAGTTGCCAAATCTGATGATACTGCCCAGCTCTCAGAACTCAGCAACACCCGCGCGTTTTACTCAGTGAGATTCACATTTTCATCACCAGGTCCAACTCCAGCAGCTCCGAACAGAGCTGCAGGAGTGGAAATCCAGGTATCGATCCCTTGAGGAAAGCCAGAAGCAAACTGCCGTTCAGCTGAAGGTGGCTTGCTTTGTTCTCTCTGCCCTCCTGTTCCATGTTTGTCCCCGCAGTTGTTTCCGGATTTCGTTCAAGTAGTTCGCTGGGTAATTGGTTTGGTTCCTTCATGCTAGCTATCACAAGGCAGAAGATGCGCGCCCTATGCTTCAACAGTCCGCAGCAAGGCAAGCCTTGAACGTGGCTTTCATCCGATGTGCTCGTGGGTCATAGGGAGATGCGTCATGAAACGATACCTGGATGCGTTGCAATTTGCGAGCTTTGATTAGCCAATGACGTCAAGCCAGGGAGAGTGAGCAGCAGACCCCAGACCGACAAAGAGAGGCAAGCTTGGAGGACACGTGAACTGTGAGCTCGCCAGCATGAGAGATCCTGACTTGGTCAAACTACAACGTGCAGACACCTGTGGCATTGTGCTAGGACCCTGTGGGTGGGTTCACTGTACACCCAGAGGCTTGTCTCAGTGCAGCAGCGAGTCGCTGAAGATGGGCTGAGCAGAAGCTGCTTGACCCCAGCCTGTGCCATGCCAGGTAGCGGGCCAAGCTCGGGATTCCGCTGAGCTACTTGCAGCAAAGGTTGTCATTCAGTTTGAGTAGGGTGCTTCAAGCAAGACCACAGCCCTTCCGTTCGAACCTTTAGCAGTCCTGTTCCTGAAAACCACTCTTTCCTGTGGCTCAGGTTGCTTTCTGTCGCCTCCCAGCCGCAAGAATTGAAGTGTTGAAGCTTTGACAGCTTTTGCCGCATGTGGTGAGCACTCAGACCGGACCAGTTGTATGAGGGAGTGCATGCATCGAAATTGCACATGGAGCCCAGCACATGCCTTGCTCCTGCTTCAGGACAGTCCAGGAGTTTACGACTCCCGGCCGAATTTAATCACCTAGCTTGCCACTTCAAGCAGGCTTTGTTCCTGGAGGATGCTGGCCACTTGTTTCACTTAGATTGCGCTGAGGTAGTCGTGCAGACTGTGTCTGTGACGGTCGGCCAAGAAAAGTCATCTCCCAAGTTGCAGAACCTGAACGTCGCTCGGCTACATTTTGGTTGTACTAGTTTACCGTACCAGTGCTTGCATCTCCTGATGCGTGTGGGTATCCTTTGGACGCATGCCTGGGAAAGGTCGGGACAGCAATCAACATCCTGGAAGTCTTGCACCGGTGCGAGGCCTAGGTGCAACCCTTCTCAGGCCTCGACTTTGTGGACCAAGGCCGGATGACAAGAGAGTTCGCGGCAGGATGGGCTTTGTTCTACATCAACCGTTCACATTGTGCGAATTAGACAAAAAGATGAAGGATTGCCATGAGCAATTTGGTCAATCCGCTCCCAGCCCTCTTTTCATGCTCAGGATAGAAGAGCCAGCTGGCTGGATCTCGATTGTTGGCACCGAGGACTTGCCTCAGAAGAGCAGTGCGAGAGAGTCTGCTCATACTCTCTGCGTCACTCAAGGATTGCAATCGCTGGGCTGCCAGAGACCTGCAGAGGTGGCAGGGTCCAACCAAAGCGTTTTGTTCTTTGAGCTAACTGCCGTGTGCTTCAAAGGAGCAACCGCTGGGCATCTCTGCGAAGTGAGCAAGTGATCTCCCTGCAGAGGGAACTGGACGTTGCTGAGACTGCCCTGGCAGAGGCGAAATCCACAGCTGCTGAAGAGGCTAAGACTAGCAAAGAGGCGCTGGAGACCTTACGGGCCACAGCAGCTGAAGATCTGGGCCGTTGCGAGCGCGAGCTCCATGAGAAGAGCGAGCGGTCCCGCAAGCTGGAGTCGGAGTTGCAGCAGGCTCCCTGACATTCATTGGCGTCACCAGATGTTAGCAGGAGTGGGGTCAAAATAGTGGGGTGTTTGCAGGCGATGCTGCAGCTGGACGGGCCCGGTGCGTATCTGCTGGCCAGTGACGTAGATGTCTCCGAAGCGCCAGCTCGTGGGTCCCAGAAGGTTGGCAGGCTTTCGGCTGGCGAGGAGGTCTACGTACTGGAGGTGGTGCATCGCAAGGGGGAAAAGCGAGTTCGTGGACGGGTCGCCCGTGGCTGGATTTCACTGCTGGATACTTCCGAGGGTTACCGATGGGCACATCGGCAGCTGGCGGCTACCAATGAGTGGATTAGCTGCTGGGATGCATGCCCGCCCCAGCCCACTCCAGAACCTAGAATCCACAGGGGCTCCCGCAGAGTCTTTTTTTGCCTGCGATCATCTGCAGGTCAGCTGCTTGAGAGGACCGCGCCCGATCAGGCTTCCGAGACAACGGAGCTGAGAGCTCGCTGTGCTGCGCTGGAGGCTTTCTGCTGTTCAGCTCCAGTACTTCTTCTCTTGGAGCTACTTGTAGGGGCAGGGTGCGCAGGCCAGTGTTTGTTTGAGCACTGCAGAGCGGGTGAATTACCCTTTTCTGGCTCAAGGTGGAAGTATTTGCTTTGCGCATTTTGGCAATCCTCCTGTACTCAGTTTGCAACTCAATATGGAGATAATTGTTCATGGGAAGCAGACAGTCGTTGCCCACCTTACCGCACAAACCAAAAGCACAGAAGATTCAAACCTGTTGGGTGATCTCTTAGCCGCCATGTTCTGTGGTACGTTAGGAGCTGGGAGCGACACCCCCAATCACAAGAGCCAAGATCACTTCGAGTTGAAGAGGCAGGGAGAACTGAACACGCTCCTGTCAGCCTGTGTGATGAAGTGTGTTGTTTGAATGTGCGCACGGAGCTAGATGTCAGTGCCAGTGTGCCGCACCAATCACTCGTTGACTTGTTCAGGTTGGTTGACGAGTGCGCGAAGGACAGACTGAGGCTTGGAGGAGGTTCTAGCTAACCTCACAGCTGTTGTTCTCAGCAGGCAACTTTTGGCATCTGTAGCTCTGCAAATATTGAGCAGGTGCATTGGGATGACGGTAAGGGTGATTATCTGGCAATATATTTTCTATCATCAGCTTATGACGGGTCTACAGCGCCCCCCCAGCCGTCCCAGCCGTTTGCGGTCAGGGACCTTGAGAAGCGCTTGGAGTCGCTGGAAGCAAACATGCAGACCATCCTGAACTCAAACTTCGAGGAAAGTGTCGAGCTCAGGAGTTCTCACGTAGTTTGCCATCTTTCCCAGTTTTTTTGTGTCAATGCATTCAGTTGTGCTGTCACACCAGGCTTGCAGCTGCAGGCTGTCAGCACTGCGCCTGCGCTTCGGCATAGATCTTGCCATCGATGTTGTTTCAAAAGTATGTATGGGAGACATGTCGTCGATGTTGTTTCTCTATACCTCGGTGTTGCAATGCTGCAAGGCACTCTCAAAGCTGCCGTTCAGCAGACAGGATGTCAGACACGAGCAGTTGGAAGTCTCCTTGGCGCCTGATGATGTCAAGGATGTCTTGCCAAGGGACCGGCAGACTAGCTCTGAGTACCGCTTCGATGCTTGTGTGTGGGACTCCTGCGTCCTGGTGGGTTTGGGAATCCTATCCTGGCAAGAGTCACTGGCAGTTGCTTTCTGCGGCTTGTGGTCCATCCTGGTTGAAGGCTTTTTCGTCCTGATCCTTTACGACAACATGACCGAAACAGTCTTTGAGCCATCGCTTGCGCAAGAGATGAAGGACTGGCGCATTCATTTTGGCTCGGTCCCCAACAGATTTTAGGCTTCAAGAGTCAAGTCGGATGAAAGGTTGTCAGCCGAGATTCCTTTTGCTGTTGTGCGCAAGCCTGAGGTCAGAACATAAACTACATAGATGACATTACCGGCCAGCCCTTGATCATGGGCGTTTGTGGCATGTCAAACTCGTTGATGAACGGCAACGTGCAGGCGGAGATTTACGAAACAATGTTCAAGTACGGCATCCGCGAAAATGGGAATGAAGATCTACGCTGGCCTTTGCTTCCGGTGGGGGCGTGGCTAGCGTTGATCGCGCTTTTGGTCTGGATTTTCACGGTGCTGAAGGAGATGAGTTGCGCATGTGGCTTTGGCATTGCACTGGCCTCTTTGCCCCAAGGGCCAAGTGGTGAAGGACGTGTGTCAAGTGTAGGACGATTCCGGCAATTGTCTATCGTCAGCACGCGCCGCGTTGTGGTGCTCATCTTGTTCAATACACTCCCCCGATTGGGTATTGCCTTGGCCACGGCCTCAGACAAGATAAGCTTAGCAGGCTGAGCAGCGTTTCCTACCCGAGGATGTGTGAGACCCAAGGTTCTCGGCATAATTGGCGTGCACTTCCTGGCGAGCACCACATCTCTATCAGATTTAATTTTGCCACCCTGAGGCGGCTTTCAGTACCATTTTAATTTAGCTACCAATTTCTTATTCATAGCCAATCATTTTGGAGTCGACAAGCTTCGTGGCAATCGAAGGAATGCTGTTGCTCTGGAAGTAGTTCTGTGCATTGATGACCTTTTCTTTGCAGTGCTCGTCCCTAGACGAGTGCATGAGACAGTGAAATCTTTGCAGCCAATTCCTGCTCCTCGTCTCATGTTTCTATTGGCACGAGTCAGAACCGGGGCGAAGCAAATGTTGAGTGATTTTTTAGCTTGCTGTTAGACTACCAGTGTGTCGCATCACATGTCTATATGGCTGGAAGCACCTGCGATTGACACGAACATTCACTAAGACTGCCTGCTTGCATCTGCCTGCAAGGTCCAAGTATGGCGACCATGGGTCCTGCAAGCACGGCAAGCCTTCATTTTTGGACTGTCACTTGTTTGCTTAGTGGCTTCGCACATAGTCTGCCTACAGCCGCTTGTGGACAACATGCAAACAACCGCCGATGCCATGTGTTCAGGGATAACGAATTTTACGTACTTCCAAGATGCTGCTGGGCTTGCGTACATTCTTCACGATGCGCGGCCACAGAAGCCTGAGATGGGTTACGCCTACCGTGCGGTTTTGCAAGCGACCCAGCTTGAGAAGTTGGAGCCTGCCGGTCTAGGAGCGCAAGTGCTCAATCGAGAGCTCTTCGGCTTGGCGATGCAGCTGAAGAGTTTGGATTTCGAAGCACGCAACGAGTTCTGGCCGTTGTGCCAAGATTTGGACAGTCCGGTCTATGCTGGCTTCGGCCTGGTAAGCCTTGGCACTGCCGCGATGGAAAAGTTGAGGGAGTTGCTTCCTGAAGCTGCTTTGAGCTCTTGCCAATCTGTTCAGTCTTTCTGCTTTGATTCTAGCCTGCCTCTGGAGACGTTGTGGAGGTTGCGGGCCTTCTGCCCCATCACTTGTGGTTGCAGTGATGTCAACTCCGGCAGCTTCATTGCCAGTCTGCCATCATTCGGGTGCCCTCAAGTTTGCCGACCGCTTTTTGTACAGAGCGTGGACAAGCTGAATTGTTCGGATGCGCAGCCGGACAGTGAGGCATTGATAACATTCCTTAACGGCTTAAGCCACAGGCGAGGATTCTTCGGCAACTTTACCCAGTCATGTGAGGACTTTGCACATCCTGTTGCAATTGATGGAACAGAATTTGATTTTTGCACGCAAACAGCCGAGCTTGACAAGATGGGATTCCAGTCGTCACAGCTGCTTTGTCCCATCACCTGCGGTTGTTTGCACAGACCGCGGCCTGAATGCCCAACAACCTGCATTGCACAGACACAGTGACAAGCCGAGCTGCAGAATCATCGATCACACTTGTGAGCTAATTTTCCTTCATTGCCTAATTCACTGGCCATCGGGCGCTTGACAAAAGCAGATCCCCGAGGCACTGTTCAGGTCCATCTCTGCCTAGCTGCAGCTGCTTCGTCATGACCGTCCAAGACCTAGCCATAGCAGCAGAAAGCAGCAATCAGGCTATCAATTAAAGTCTTCCTTGCATGTGGAACTCAAACGAGTCCATCTGCTTGGATAATACTTGCATTTGCTTAGTTGTTTGGCCAAGAGCAGGACCGCTGGCGCTCACCTTGTGAAGTGACCGCGGAACTGCCCCGATAAGTTGTCTTTTATATATCCTTGAGCTCATGGCTGCTGAATAGGCTGCCTGGAAGCTGTTGTCTCCAGAAGGCTCTGATGGTTGCAAAACTGGAGCCGTCCTTTGCAGGGATGAGCCGCGAGAACGGCTTCTACCCGTGCTCCTGCCAAGCTTTAATCCGTGCGAGGCACACCGAGACTCAATCTTGCTGGAGCTCTGCGCCCAGCCGAGGGTGCGTTTTCGGCGTTGAGTGGCTTATCAAAGCTTCAGGCTTGACCAACTGCAGACTGCCAGCACTGCAAACACCATCCAGGCCGGACAAGGCCCGGAGATTTAGTCGCCATTGACGGCCCAACTGCCCTGCTGAAAGTCCATGTCAAAGAGCAATGCTTCGGTCATGCCAACCCATGCCTCTAGTTTTTTAAACAAGAAAAGCACAACCAGAATTATCCTTTAAACTTCGAACTGCAACTCAGCAAATCTAACCACTGCGGGGTTGTCCATGTGCCAGGTGCCCAGCCTGATCCTGACGATGCTTCTGAACTTCAGGATTTCTCAGATCTGTGACTTGCGGAAAGGTTCTGAAAAGCACCGCAGCTTTGGCCAAGGAGCTCCGGGCAAAGGTGATGCTCCTGGAGGCAGGACGTGACGAGCTCGACCTGCAGGCTGGAAGGGTGAGCTATGCAGCTTTGGTGAGGGCAAGTTGAAAAAAGTGTCAAGGCAGAGCTGCTCCGCACCAAGTACCAGACGCTGGAGGCAGAGTACGAGGCCTCAAGCGCAGGTCTGCGTCATGTGACGATGCGAAACAACGATTGATTCTGCCTTTCCAATTACGCCGGGCTCTGTTGCCGGGGCTCTGTTTGATATTGAGTTTAGTCCGTCAGAGACATTCACATGATGCCAGCCCATGTCAAGTAATCCTCATCCTGTCATAAAACTGGAAGCAGATGTGAGGCAGACTGTAATCTACTTGAAGTGGTCAGCTGTTGGAGGAGCTCCAGCAGTACACTGCTGCTCTTCGCAGCGACTCGGCCGCTGCTCGGGGCCGTGCCCTCCAGGCTGGAGGGCGTGACGTACGTGAAGTGGTTCCTGCGCGACGTCGCTACCTCAATCGAATTTTGCCCACGTCTCGCAAGTCGCAAGGCGGAGGAGCTGCGCAGACAGGTCGATCGGCACGTGAAGGAACGCGGAAGCTTGGAAGCAGAGCTGGCCAGGCGGGGTAGGTGGCCGTCCTAGCAACAGTTTCACTATGTCTCACTGGTCAGAAGCCTTGCAAGGCTCCGGGCGGAGGTCCGTGCCTTAGTGGCAGAGGTTCAGGAGCTGCGCTTGGCACCTTCAGCATCGCCGCTGGCCATGGCGGAGCAGTGGGCCGGCATCCCAGAATCCGTTCGGCGTTGTCTGACACAATGGACATAAAGTTTCCGAGGTTCTGTACGCGGATGTGCCCGACCTGGCAACAACCTCCAGCGCAAGCCTTGTTTCAGAAGGGTCAGTCGGTCAGAAGGAGCATGTCTTGGCCTGGAACCCCAGGCATCACATACCTCGGAAGGGTCACTATTGACTTCAATGATCAGGCATCAGATGCTTAGAGAGAATTTTGCTCCTTTAAGCCTTTGGCCAGTCCAGGAGCTAACCAGCCTCTTGGGTCCGCTTGCGGCTGTGAACTTCAACCACTGTGCCTCTGCCACGTCTGCCTTGGAACGTGGAGATACTTCCAGGACTGCACTGAAGGCTTACCGCAAAAGTGATCCAGAAGGGCAGGGCCATCTCGAGAGGGATGGAATGCATGCTTTTTTGGCAGCAGTTTTTCAGAATTATAGTCTGACGCCTCCACTGGAAACTCACATTGGAGTTCTGTACCGTCGGTTCGACCCAGAAGACGACAGGCTGGAAGCTTTGGCGTGCCTGTGCTTAGCAGATGCGATGATCAGAATGGTGCTGCGGGCCGGCCTTTCTACACTCCAGCAGCCTCAAGCGGCACCTGCGGCACCTCGGTATCCGGTCGCTGAACCAGTGTTAAAGTGCCGAGCATGCGGGGAGATCTTTGAAGAGGACGCAAAGTTCTGCATGGCTTGCGGTGCAAAGCGGCCGGTGACTGCATCACCACACGCAACTCTAAGCAGCCCTGCCTTGTCACGACCGTTGGCTTCGGCATGTCCGGCCAGCATTTCCTACGCGCGGAAGCTCTCAGTTGAACCTGTTGCTGCATGTGGAGCAACCACAGTGGGTGCGAAGGTATTGGATGCATCACGAGTCAAGAGTTCTGCTTTTACTGCTCCAGCCGTGCAGTCTCCTCCGATGATACCCCATGCGCTCATTGGGACCATGGCAAGTAACGGTGGTGGACGGCTTGCTGGCACTTTCCCTTGACGGGCATCTTGCAATGTTTGCTAACTGCGGGAGTGCTTGGTGGTTGCTTGCAGAATGTAGCCGAGTCGGTGCTGCCAATGCAAAACCAGGCTTTTCATGCCCGATCATTAGGGAGAGTTGGAAGTGCGGCCTCCAACTCTGCAACGAACGTACTCTTATTTGACGGAGTCTCTTGCCGATGGTAGAAGAATTAGCTGCTCCCTTTGTTGCCTTGAAACTCCTGCTTCCACATCGGCCTTTGCTAGCATAAGTTCCTGCTACTCGCCTAGTCAAGCGACAGTGCTGCTGTTGACCAGCAGTACCCTGATAATTCTCCGTGGAACCAAAGTGTGGCCACTTGTTGCGTTGGGACATATCTGGACACTCATGCCGCCACCCGCATCCCTCCATGAATGTGGCTTGTTTGTTGAGGCCCCTAAACTTTGTTTTCAGGCCCTTCAGAAGATGTGGAAGAAGAGGGATGAATCTTCCGGTACGAGTTCTAGCTGGGCTGACGCCATTTCGAGTTCAGGGTTCATTGTACAGGGCGTACACGACATCAAGGTTGCTGACTACATTGCACAGTGCTATCACTGTGATGCATTGTGATGCGATACAACTCATGGCAAACAGGAATCCCTTGAAGTGGGGGACCCAGCAGGTGAGCATCTTGCCAAAGGAATTTCCGTCTGCTGCCCTGAAGCCTCAAATGACTTTGACAATGGGCGCGCCACCGGCCGTGGCCTCTGATGGGCAAGCGTGGCCAGAACCCCTTGCTGCATGCAGAGCTGATGTTGTCCTGAAGAGCGTAGAAGGCAATGCTGAGCAGAGCCAATCCAGGCAGACGGTACGGGCTGGCAGGAAGCATGTAAAGCTTTCATGAGCTTGCGTTAGCTTTCAGACTGGACAGATGTCAAGCCCAGGAAGCGTGCGCTGGATAGCGGAGAGGAAGTTCCTCTGCGAATCTTGGTGGCAACAAAAGGGGCAAGCTGCTTTGTAGAGAAGGGACCTGACCAGTCTTTCAACACGAGACCGAGGCAGCGACGAGCTCCGACCGCCGGATGAGCTGCCCGAACGGGAGGCAGCGGCAGTGCAAGCCGCGCTGGAGCGATGGAGGGAGCTCAGGCCACGATTATTTGTGTCAGCATTAGAACCACCTTCTGGAAGCATCCTGTTCAGGCTGCGGGTGGAGGTTCTCAGACCGATGCTGGAGCACGAGGCGAGCCAATTCCTCTGAAAGGTGAAACGGTACGGTCGACCTTCGTCAGGACCGCCTCATGCAGGACATCCTAGATAGAGGTCTGGGCAGCGAGGACCGAAAGACGTTGCGAAAGCTTGCAAGTGTTGGTACCCCGTCTGGCACAAATTCTTCCAACTCTTAGCAACTCTGTCTGGTGCGTGTTCTCGCATATGTGCGTGCGTTTTGAAAGACCGTAGTTCAGCAGTGCTATGTCGCGAGCCCGACGGCTGCTCATGGCTGCTATCTTTGAGGTGCTCGCGATGCAGAAGCAGAAGCTGCGCAGGCCAGGCCATCATCACAACAGAGGCATCATCCTTTGCGGACACATTGCATGCTGCAGGTCGCGGATTCTGCTGCTTGGCAGGGATGATCTCAGGGATGAAGAGCGTAGGCATGTCTTGTCCAATGTTGTCCAATAGAGACGGCTCCTAGTAAGAGAAGTTTCAGGTTGTGCAGCTGAAGCTCAGCCAAGGTCGGGCAGGAGCGCCACCGCCTACAGGAGATTTTGATGCAGAATCATCGAGAGCTGCTCGAGCTTTCGACCACCACCACTCCAGACGACAAGAAGGATTTCTGCCAAAAGCTGCGTTAAATTCAGATACTTTTTGAATGATCAAGTGGTAGTGATCATGTTTTTTCTTAGTTGTGGGTGGGTTACATTGGAATTTGAAACAGCCACGGATTCGAAAATCGGACAAGCCCCGGCAAAAGCCGCCACAAGACGTTCCAAACTATCGAAGGAGCTTATCTCTGAGATGGACGGTGTGTTGGATGAGCTCAAGAAAGCGCAGGATGCGGTGCACGTGGAGCTGTTAGCAACTAAGGCTGCTCGGCATCGCAGGAACTGGGGTGTAGTAGAAGATGTGCGGAGACTTTCGTGTGTTCAGAAGCTCAGGACAAAGAGGACAGATTCAGAAGCTTCATTCGGCAACAATGACATGCTTGTTATGCTGCTGCTTGATCTCAGTCAATGCATGACGAGTCAATTCTGAGAGGACATGTCCGCGGTTCGCGCCTACGGCCGCTCCCTGAATGACTTGAAGGCTCTCACCAGACGTCTAGACTGCGAACGGCGAAGCTCCATGTCGGAATGGTAAAGGTTTCTTTTCACCTCAGCCTGACCTCTGTTCACCGAGCCTGCGCTGTTAAAGTGTTAAGCTGAGGTCTGACCAAAAATTCTGCGTTGGCGATGCTGCTGGTTACAGTTTGTAGACGGATACTTCCTGCCCGGAAGATAGATCCTTCTGAGCTGACCAACATACAGGCCTCTTGGAGTCACAGATGGCCTTGGCTTTCCTATGAATGAAGCGCGCTTCTGATCAGTAAAGGCTAAAGGTCCCAGGTTGAGAGCATTTGGCTGGAGTCTGCGCGACAAAATGGTTTGGTGAGGCTTTCAGCTTAGCCCTTCACCAGGAGAGAGAGAGGGAGACAGGGTCTATGTTGTATAGTGCTTGTGCTTCGTTCGTAGGCAATGCACATTGAGGTAGGACAGCTAAACGGCATACTGTATTCTCATGCCCCGGCCGAGCGGATGCGCGGCAAACTGAGTCAGCCAGGGCGACTAGGGCGGGATCCGTATTTTGTGGGTGTTTGGGGACTGGTGACCAGCGTAGTTGATTCTGGATAGCAGATTCTTGATCCTGCAGGGTGGGAATGGACACCGTTGCTGGCTAGGGTCCAGTACAGCCTGAAGACGAAGAGAGAGGTCTCCACAAAAGAAAGAGGCGAGCGCAGCCTTGAAGAGGATGTCGGGCTTGAGGTCCTGGACAGCTAGACCACAACTTTTCTGCGTTAGTTTCGCATCAAATTCTGCCGAAGCCCGCTGCAGTTGCAGCTAGGTATGCTGAAGCGAGCACACATCTCGGCTTTGATTTTCTTCTCCTTGAGTCCTGCATGTGTTCTAAGCTAAGGCTTCACATCAAGGCGCGTGGGCTCGTGATTGTGATTGCCGGTGAAGCCATTTCGCCTCCCAAGACTATTGAACTCATGCCTGGACAGGATATCTTCAGATTTTGGACTTCTACTTCTTTTCGGCAGCTTGGCCTTCAAGAACGTCACCGCTCAGATTCGGAATATCCTCCTGTACTTTGTAGACATGCGTTCATCGTAGCTATCATAGCACCGGAGCACAACTGCGAGCTTTTCCGCAACAGTTGAAAAAACCATTCTGCACGTCCACATCGAGCTTGGGATGAACTCATGAAATTCCAGAGGGCACTGACGCTCATGACTTATCTATCTGAACGTGGATTGCGTTCTTCACGAGACTTTTCGTCATCCAGTTTGACCAGCTAAGGATGCAAGCCTTTACTGCTTTGGGGAACACTTCTCCGGGCCGAATTGGTTCACTCGCTTGAAGCGAAATGTTGCCATACTGTCTGTTTCGGACTTGGATGGAACTAGTGCCTTGCCATGCAAGTGAGTGCTGATGGTTGTCCTGCTGCCGAGCATCCTGCCGCCCGATCGTTGAGTAACCTTGATCGCAAGACCTGGTGAGTGGATCAGCAGCTACTCTTTTCCTCCAAAATTAGATGAGGGTTTCCCAAAATTAGGGGTACCCTTTTTAGGGCTCTCTATAATCAGGGTTATAGTATTTGGGGGTCTATATTGGGGTTCCCTTATTTTGGGAAACTACCAGATTGCCCCAGGTGTCTACAATGACTTTGCGGTAAGCGGCTCCTGGGATGCACCTCTTTGCCTGGACAGCTCAACATTAATATTGATATTAATATTAAGCATAATATGAATAATATTATTAATATTAATAATATTAAAAATAATAATATTACTAATAATATTAATAATATTAATCTCATTACTATTAATGAGTTCCAGTGTAACTCTGTCAAAGTCTGCTTAGACGGCGGGGCTTAACCTGAGCCTTTGTCTGGTTCCTTTAGCATCTCTTGAGATTTGACTCTTACTTGTCGCGTTGCCGATGTCAATTATGGCTTCAATCGTGATGATTTGTATTGGTACCCTCGACTGTTCATACATCTGCGAGAGTTTCGCTCTCTGTCAGAAGGGAGTTTCTCGAATTTAGTGTCACCGAGCTGCCCCCCAAAAAAAGTGGTCTTCTGATTCGCCCGAATATTTTGAAAACTCTCAGGTGGCAGTCCCTGCTCAGGTGAGTACAAGACTCCGGGCGCGCCGCTGGCTCCCGACAACGGGCCTCTTCAGTCGATTGAAGCTGCCGTGTCTGGCCTTGCATTCCCGAACATCAGCGCTACTTCGGTTTAGGTGCATTCCCAAGAAACCGCTCACAGAGCCGTTGATCAGCAACTACTATGCGGCTTTACGTTTTGCTTGCTGGAGATCAAGACTCCCAGTTTTTGTAATACTCTGCAGCAGAACATGCCGGTGCATGGATTTGTTTACCTGTCAGCCAGACCCCTGCAGAAGGAGAGAAAGCGTATGTATGGAGTGCAATGATTTGCCTTCCCCAAGAACTGGGCTTACTCATGTTGCTTGGGATGAGGAAGGCCTGAAGAAGGGGAATAATAAGAGGTAGAACAGAGAAAGAGACTGGGGAACCCTGGACTGTGCAGAGGCGTGCTTATTAAGCATCAACAGAAACATCTAGATTTGGAGGTCAGCATGCTGCATTTCCAGATTTCATTCAGCCCCCGCTTCGCCTTTTGGTGAAGTTTGGAAGGCTCCCTGAGCAGCATGAAGCCGGTCGAGTGCAACAGGTGTGGGCTTTGGCCCAAAGCCCATTAAAAGTGAAATGCGCGCAGACAGAGCGAGAAAGAGACCCCGGTCCTGGGTGGGACCGGACGAGCGAGGGCCTTTTATAGCCCGTAGAAGAAGAAGACTCTGGTCCTGCGGTTGCGCTTTCCTCGGCAGCAACGGAGGTCAGGGAATCCATGTGTAAGCATGTTTTCAGGCACTTTTGGAGTGGTGGGTTGTTGCAGCGTTGCAAGGTGATCCTTCAACGGCCAGATAGAGCAATGCAAGGGTCAGAAACATGAGGGGATATGCTTGTCTGCCAGGATCCCAAAGCTCAGCAGCTATGAGCGCGCCAGCAGAGCACATGTGGATGGAATGGGGTGTTTTTCACATTCCTGTGGGATCATCCTGGGCTGTGGCTTGTTGGGATGTGTTACGGTCTAGTTTTGTTGTAGTTTTTGAAGGACAGGAAGCCTCACGGCAGCCTGGAGGAGCGGGGAGTGTCATACCCAGCCGGCATGAAGGCTCTAGTGTCAATAGATGTGGTGTGAGCGGAGCTTTGAGAAGAAGACTCCTTTTCTCCTCCTTGAATGGCCGACCGGACCTGAAGCGCGCAGCCCCAATGGGGCCCCAGGGTCCCGCATAGCCTGCAGAAGAAGAGAGAAGAAGAAGGAGGAGGGGGAGGGGGAGCAGAAACAGGAGGAGAAGAAGAAGTAGAAGTAGAGGATTGAAAACAACAATAATAAGAAGACGATGACGAAGAAGAACAAGAAGAATAATACAAAGAAGAGGAGGAAGAGGAAGAGAGAGGGGGGGGAAGTGTTGCATTAATGCGTGCCAGCATTTCCCATATTCCTGTGTTTGTTGTTGTCTCCAGAATGTGGGCACAATCGCCGTAGATGTTGTTGCCGGAAGTGTCCGGTGATGTCAGCGCAAAAAGCGTAAGGACGAAAATGGTCGCGTTTTCGATCGCCGTCACGATGCAGACGCTTGTCAGAATGAGCTTGCTGCGGGATGGCACTTGGCCTCAAAAGGATGGGTTAAGTTCTCGCTGCTTTGTGCAAGGAGTTCAAACTGCTGACTGGCCTTTGCAACCTGGCTGTTAGATTTCTTTGGGGCTGAAGGGGTTGGCTAAAGGCTTCGTGAAGCTTGCCTCCGGCTTTTAGAAGGACCAAGAAGCGGCAAGCTATCATGGCAGTGTAGTGAAATACATTTGAATCTCATCGCTTGAGTGGGACTTTGGGCCCTGGGAGATGCAACGCTTGACTGAGGTAAAATGGTGCCAGTGGAAAGGCAGTGAAGCAGATCCGGTTTCGTAAGTGTGGGGTCTGCAGGGCTACCAGCTGTCTGCACTGCTAACATCCTCAGACAATTGTACAGCAAAGTATTTTACGGAAGGCATCGGCTTGCATGACTGCTTACTCGGATTTTGAGCTTTGAAGATGCACAATGGGCTTGCGCAGGCGCTCCACTTGGCGCGCCAAGGCAACGCTGTGGTCGAAGACACTTGGCAAGCTTGAGGGAGAGTTGGAATTCACCGGAGCTGAACATGAAGTTGAGTTCCACCAGCTTTTTAACAGCATTGGACGAAGCTGCCTCAAAGTAATGGTATCAGCATCTGTACCGGTGCGACTGGCAGAAGTAAGCGTGCATGCTGCACTAGTATTACAAATCAAGCTGCCACCCAACAGATGCCTTGCGCCACCATTCCGACACAGACCACACGATGAACTTTGATCTTTTCGTCGGCAGCTCTCAAGAGATCAGCTGTGGGCTTGGCAAAAAAGAAACGAAACTCCCTCTTTCAGGGGGTGTCGGCACTGCTATTCTTATTTTGCTTGGTATTTGGCTGTTCGGCGCGGGTAGAAGGCAGAAACGTGTGATCTTGTGCCGGGAGTTGCTGCTAGGAAACCGCTTTGCCGAAGCTGTGCAGAGGCGGTTGGCATTTCGGCAGCACTGGAAGTTCTTGCTCATCTTGTCAGGGGTGTGGCCTGCATACCCGAAATTATGTGGAATGCACCGTCCCCTAGCATGTCTCAAGTGCAGAGCCGGGAACGTGAGGTGTTTTGACAGCAAGCCACAGGAAATGTGTTTGTAAAAAGCTGAGCAGCTGGCTTCAGGACACAGGCAGCCAATCGATCGTTGAAAGGGGAAGCTTTCGATCGGAGATTGGGGGCAATAATTTGGAGGGCGAGTAGTCACACGGAATGATTAACGACTTATTTCACCGTTTGATTTGAAAAGGCTGCTTCGGTAAGCTCCAGCAAACTTGAAAAAATCGGCGCTTGTGGCAATGCCGGATTTACACGCGTTTGGCCCAAGGCCAAGTTCAATGCCTCTTTCCACAGTTGCCCCCCGGTGGCAGATGCTGTCTTTGTTGATTTGATCAGTTCAGGCTGGCTTGCGTTGTGGACTGAATGTCTCGTCAATTTGTGGCAGCCGTCCATAGCCGTCCCACCCCATGTATGCAAGCAAAGGAATGTTAACATCGTTGTTGGAGAGCCAAAGACCGAGAATGATGGCTCCAAGGCCGGTTTCTGTTTGCAGCTTACGTAAGAGAATAGTCTATCACAAGCCGTTTGTAACGACTTGCATACTTGATCTTCTGGCTACAGTGAGATTCTTTGATCTTCCCCTGCCAGGTGCCAAACGGCAAGAGGCTCGCAGTAAACGGCTTGCGAGCGGAGCCAGCAGAGCTGGGCTCTTTATTGACGTGAGGTTCAGCAACTTTTCGCAGCACAGCTGCCCATCAGTTTCCTAGGGCAACGCATGTAATCACAAAGCCCCTTAGTATGTACCTTCAAACCGCCTGACCGATCCCTGCAGAAAGTTGACGTCATAAGCCACCAGGAGATTTCAGCGTGAATCTTGCTGAGTGCAAATACAGTCTTGCGATTCTGTTCTGCCGCTGGATTGGTGTGCAGCAGAAGGATTGGAATAGCTTGAAGTCCAGCTGTAGAGCATCAGCGTGGAGCTTGCGCCTTTCCTGACTCAGGGTAGAGGACCTTATTGCTCAACAGAGCTCTGTGGACATAACCATCAGGTCTCAGTAGTTGCTCAACAAGGCTGAAGTATTAGCACTCTCAAGACTTGCAGTCCTTCAGCTGTGCGATGAATTTCCAGGGCAGACAAAGCCATACCGTCGTCGCTCGTCTTTTGAACGAGCAACGGCAGGTTGCACGAGGTGGTGTGATGATGAGAAACACAGTACATGCTATATGCATTCCGCGTTTCAAGCTTCGAGGTTTTTGCTGCACTCTTTAGTTCGCTCGGCTGACGTCTGTCTTCTCCCGGGCAGAGCTTAGCACGCTCCGAGATGCTCAAAGGTGGGCAATCTGACAGATGCGCGCTGACAGATTAATCTTAGCGCTGCAACCGTGAGTTGGTGCCAGCTCCGCTTGAAAAAATGTGGGATGCGTAAAGCATCTCCACATGCCAGCTTGGATGGTGCAGTGGAATTAGCAGAATGGACTTCAGGGTGCTACCAACATTGCTCTGAATTCGAAGCAACACAAAAGTAACCATGGTTGGACTCAGCACGTGGGAGTGGTCCTGCTGGGTGTAGCTGCAGGGAAGGTGAAACGTCGCGTGGCTTTGGCTTGCAAGCCGTCGTAGTCCTGGATAGAAGAGCCCCGAGTGGAGTTTGTTCCGGCTCCATCATCGCTGCATCAGCCTGTGGCATCTCGTTCGGCGTGACTAGGACGCAACTTGCTGTGCCTCCATGCTAGTGAGAATGAAGCTGCGCGCTCTCATTGGTAGAGGAGCCGCTATGCAGAGCCAATCTTCAAAGCACAGTAGAGCGCGTTTGGTCCGAGAAAGCTGCCTTTCTACATAGCTTGAGGTCCCTGCAGTACTATGTGGAGCTTGTCTATGTATGATGCCGAGCATCCAAGTTCTGCTTTGAAGGCGCTCATTGCAGAACATATCGACTTCCGGACATGGTCAGATTCGGGAGGGCTGCTGCATACCATGGAATGGAAATCCTCCCAAGAAGCTTCTTCTTAACGTTGTCAGGTAGCAGAAGCCCCTGAACCATCAAAGCCACAGCCTACCTGGTGTAATGGCATTGAGCACATGCAGGCCGCAGTCGCTGCCAACGTGCTGGCACCTCCGTCTTTAACACTGGAGCAAGTGCTGGAGCTACAGGATGTGTATTCTTCCAGACAACACCAGCAGCCCCTGCTAGTATTTCATTGCAATGAGCAGGAGGCCGAGATTGCAGAGTATTCCAAGACAACGTTCCAGACACTTGAATGCAGATTGTATGCGACGGATGTGTCCAACTGTGCGTGAGTATATCTGGTATCAGGACTGAGCTATATGCCGCCCTCGAGTCAGGCTGCCCAGAAGAGAAGGCACATTTGCGGCAAGAGCTCTGCATCTTGACTTGACTGTGTGCAAACACTGCTTTTTTTATGCGAAGTTCTGCAAGTGAGAACTCAAACCAAGGTTTGAAAGCTCAGGCAAGATATCATGCTCCAGATGTGCTGTTGACCAGGTAATGTCTGACCAAAGACGAATGCCCCAAAGCGAATTGCAAGAACCGACCAGGTGCCAATCGTGGGTCGATTCGGCTTTGAACCCACGGCCTTGGGAGTGTCTCAAGCCACGTTGGCTATCCTGCGCCACCATGGCGAGCCCAAGGCTTGGGGCGGGGCTTCAATGATGTGCGGTTGTATCCACCTCAAAAAAGAAAATAGCAGATGTACTTGCTAGTTACTTGATTTTGAACCTATGGGCAGCCTCCCGCTGCACCAGTCCCATTATGTACAGGAAGGGCAGAGCTGTTGACTGAGTCCTTTCACAGATCAGTCATTCCAGCCCTGCATGCCTCATTTGCTAACGCTGGTGACGCCTGGCTCAAGCCTCAAACAGCGAGTACATGGCGCGCCAGCGAGGTGGATCGCGCGAGGATTTTTGGATGCAAGATTTTGTTGTCCCTTCCGAGCCGTGAAATTCGTTGCATGCATGACACCTTCCCAGTAGCAAGAAACTAAAACATATGTTCTTGCATCAAGCCTGTAATCATGTGCACGGAAGCAGCTTACGTGTGAAGATATGTTTTGTATGTACATGGGTACAACAGCAAGAGTTGCTGTCCCACGCAGATTATCACGATGCCTCATGCGGCCAGCCCATGATCCACCTTCAGATGTGCATTGTTGCATGTTGTGGCGTGTTGTGGCATAGCTGTAGGGATGTGTTGCTAGGGGTCTTGTCTTCTGTCAAATTACACACGCCATCACCTTCAAAGTCGCTGTTATCGTAGAAGTGTTGGAGGAGGAGGCAACGGCTGCCACCGAAGTAGCCTAACAAACAAGAGCAGCTGTGCGGGAGTGAGGAGGAGGAGGAGAAGGAGCAGCAGCGGCAGCACGATGCTGTAGTGGCAACAGCAGTTGGAAGATGTGGAAGTGCAGCAGCATGCTGTAGCATTGGTGAGAAATTTGCAGTTGCCGCTGATTCTTATGTTTCTGTTATTATGCTGGCGCACACATACCTGATGACTTTTTGTATCTTTTTGTGCTATCGGTCTCATTAGCATGTCCTGGTGCATGCAGAGCGGTTAGATCAGACAGCTGTTTAGTTGGAACTGCGGCAAGAGAGACGCCACCAGCGGCCTAGGCACTGGCGCCCTGCCATGGCAGTTGCGGCAGTGCTGTGCCCGGGCTGACTTCATGGTTGTTGTCGGACGTAGCATCATTAGTGTCTACTACCCCAAAATAGCTGCAGTCAGAAATCATTGCTACCACTGCTCACTCACTGCTCCTATTGGTGCTTCCACTGCTTCTGCTGCTGGCTAATTGCTGTTAGTGCCGTTGCATGTGCTGCTGCCACTGCGACTGCTACAATGCTGCAAGTCCTCCAACTATCACATTTAGGGTGTGGTGGTTGTGCGGGACACGCATACACTTGCGGTTCCTGCGCCAAATGCTTTTCTCCCTGTTTGTGCCCTCAGATGGTAGCATCTGTAATCGCTGTGATTAAACGAAACTTGAAGAGGGGACCCGATATTTGGCCTCAAGCTCTCAACCCAGATTTCTGGCCCACCCCCAATGTGACCTATACCCAGCTGATTCATAGCTCAAAGCTCTGCTCAGAGCGCGGCGGTCAGCATCCAAACACGAACAGGCGTTGGCCTCAGTCGTATTCCACTACGTGATGCCTGCAGTCATGTTAAGCACTGACATCATAGTTGGATTGCAATGATCGTTTCCCATTTGGTGGAAAGTGTCTCGCATGGCCAGGACCCTTATAACTTCTTAGTGCGACAGTGTCTTGGCGAGCATGCAGAACACTGCATAGGTGCTCTTTTTGAATGTCTGCAGCTCCAAGGAAGAGTGCAAATAGCATTCGCTCTTTGAGCAAGAGCCCCAAAAGCAGTCGCAGTGGCGAGGCCGATCCAACAATCTCTTTCCCTGTTTTGGTCATGCACTTCTGCGGGCTTCCCAGTCTGTGCCAGTGATGGCCTCCCCTGTCGAAAGGGCCCTACCTTGTTTGGCGCTGATGATGTCAAATCGCAGGCCTGCATGCACTTGCAGCGTCAGATTGGCTGGAGTGGTGTGCCTGCCCGAGCTTGGAGCCAGGCTGTATCGACCGTGTCCAAGCGTGAAGTGGACCAGGATGAGTTTCAGGAAATTCTCGAGGAGCAAGGACGCTTGGTCACATGTCGGTAGCTTTTGAGCCTTGAGCCTCCTTGGTTGCTCTTTTTGTGCGGTGAAGGACTTGCAGACTTCAAGGAGGAAGAGCCAGTCAAGCCAAAAATGGTAGAGAGGACTGACCCCTGGCGGCCCTTCATCTGCGCAGCAAAGAAAGCCTGTCTGACAAGGCTAGAGCTGTTCTTGAGTTGGAGTAAGCTGAGGAGTTTGAATCCTTGGTTGGTGTGCTGATCGCTATTAACTCCATTGTGATGGGCCTGGAAGCAGATGCACCCGACAAAAGATCTGTTGGATGGGTCATAGTGGAGAATTTCTTCTGCCTGCTTTGGATAAGCGAGATGATGCTGAAGCTGTGGTTTTACCATCTGGCCTACTTTAAAAGTGGCTGGAACGTGCCCCAGGCAGCAGAGGGAGCTTCTTGGTACAGTGTGCTTGAGATTGGCCGAGAAGTCTTGCCAAGACTGAGGTGTTTGACTTCTGCCTTGTTCTCCTCAACATCTTCGAGACATGGGTCATTCCCTCGCTGGCAATCGAGGATCTCGACGCACTCGGCGTTCTCAGAATAGCTCCTCTCAGGCAATGGATTGTGTCCAGACTTTTCCGGTGGATCAGTGTCTCACGGTATGGGATGAGTAGCATGATCAACTCAGGTACGAGTTCTACGAATCTTGAGATTGCTGCGGCTGATTCGACTCATGTGACCTGCACCGCAAGAGCTCCACCGGCTAGGTGCTCTGTATCTCTCTTGCCTGCCTTAGGCGACTCTTCAAGAACCTCTGGCTCATCATCGTGGGTTTCAGGGAATCCTTGAGCACATTATTCTGGGCTCCTCGTCCTCTTTGACCAGCAGCGGTTGACAACCCTGCTGAGTGTTGCCTTGTTTGCCCGACAGAAGTTGGAGCATGCAAGTTTTCATTGGCTGCTCCATGCATTCGGGTGCCAATTCGAGGTGTTGATGCTCTTGTCTGTCGTTGTCTATGTGCGTCTTGGCTTTCAGCTACAAGGTGCCAGTGTACCAGATAATAGCCTTCACGGGGAAGTACGTAAGGGGCTTAGCCATGGGGTTGGTTTACCTGAACGAACCTCTCACATCCCGCTGTTTGGCTGCCCATCTGTCTTTGAAGGGCCTCTTCTGTAACCACCTCTGTAAGCCTATGCAAAATGGCAAAGTCAGATGATTCATATTCAGAACAGATGTCTGGGCTCACATGGCTTACTGACTTTAGAGTGGCTGTAGATTGGACTGTGCTAGAGCGAGCGCTGTCCGGCAATATGAAGAAAAGGCAGATGCGTGGACTGGGCCCAATGAGGTTTGCAATATTCTTGCGCCTTACATTGAGCTGCCCTGAGCAGTTCCAGCATTGGATAGATCCTTGGCTGCTACAAGACGTCTCCTTTTTCTGCATCAACTTGCAGTTGTTTCCTGTATTTCACGGCTCATGTCTCCTGTGTTTATGCTGTCCAACAAGGAATGCGATGACTATTTTGGAACCATGCCCAAGTCGAACCTTGTCTTGCAGAAGAGTTTCAAATACTTGCTTAGCATCAGTGTGACTGTCTCAGCATGCGGACTGCTTTCTGCTGATGGCGCCTGCGGCTGCATGGGCTGTTTCCAAGCATGCATACTTGTGGAGTTTAAATAGCCCAGTTCTGGATTGCTAAAGCCGGGGGTCCCCACAAGCCGCGCCGTTCGCATATTCACTCGCAGTACATGCTGCATTGAAAGCGGACATCCAAGGATGTATACTTTATTTCAGATCATTACGCCGCTCGGATAGCATGGGTGGCACCCATCAATGATCTCTTGCATCCCATGATTTGCAAAAACCGCCGAGGCTTGAGTCCTGGAGTCAGGCTATCTCCTCTGCAAATGCACTCGTGGTGATGCATGTTGTGCTTGTTCTATGCCAGGAGTTTGCGCGTCCGATTGTAAAGCAGCAGCCAATGTTCTTTCTTTTCTTTATGCCGCCAGGTTGCATTGGTAAGGCATTCTATCAGCTTCGATTCCATTCCTCTTCTAAGTTTTATCGTGCAAGCTAGACACAGCGCAATATCAAGACACTTGTGTTGAAGGGTTGTTTCAAAGGCGCTGGTGCACATAATTCGGACGAGTCACCGGGGCTGTACAAACGGAGTCTGCGTGGCTTGTGGATGCCCGCCTGTGCACGACAACCCATTTCATGAAAGGTTCTTCCTCTTCCTCACAACCTTCGGCATCCTCAACATCATAGTTGGTGTCATTGTGGAAAACACACTGAATGCAGCCAAGCAGAACATGGAGCTCCAGGCAAGCTGTGGCAGATCATGTTCCAAGCTGTTATCCAAAGCATGTGGTGTCCTTAGCCCATCTCGTGCGCAGGAGAGAAGACTTCAGCGGCAACTTCGACAGGAGCCTGCAAAGGTCTAAGAAGCGTTCATAGACTGGGGTGATGCTGCATGCGGTGCGGCGAGGAGTTGGAGAGTATCCGTATTCTCTTCGAAGATGCTGATGCAGCGACCTGGCTTTGTCCAGGCAGAGAGAGGTGCGTTAAGCCTTGGGTACCATCCTTGCCTGGGGTGGCAGGGTGCTGTGACATATTGATGCGCTGCACAGTTGATCGGTCAACAGGATGTTATCGGATGTTTATGCTACTCGTACTGTGTATTCAGGAGTTAACACTCACTGCTCGAATTCTGAGGATGGCAGTGGCACCTTGGAGAAGGACGAATTTATCCAAATCTTGGTCGACGAGGCAGTCAAAAACACCCTCACACGATTCTTGGCCTTTGATGTGTGTACAGCATAGGAACTTAGGAACTTAGCAAAGCACCCACAACAGAGTGACATCACCAAAGGAATGGAGGTGCCCGTGGATGATCCTGGCACCTTGTTTGAGATCCTTGACCCACAGGCCGGCAGGTTATTTACGGTGCCTAAGCTGTGAGTCCTTCAGGTTAAGCTTTTGTTTGGGAGTTCAGCACGGATATTCAGACAAATTTGGGACAGGGCATTCTGGTGAAGGCCTCCATTCCAAAAAATCTTAAGATATTCGTATACCTGTGAGAGCTTGACATGGCGTTCCGCTTGCAAGCTGAAATGCGTACAATTGTGGCAAACAATGTCTCAATGCAGTTCTCAGCATCTTCATCTCGCAGATATTTAGAGCAGGTACGTTTTATAGCCATCATCGGTTTTCTTTGGCCACAGCTTCAATGCCCCTCCAGCCGCGTGCCTCATTTCAAGGTCTTTTGTCATGGTGATGAGACACCACCTTGTAACATGACACTGGAATCCTTCAGCAGCACGAGTTTTGTAAGGGCACATTCGCACCGGAAATTCTTGGAAGGAGTACGTCATCTGACTCTTCCTATCCCTCACCATCCTACACCTCAATCCGTCAGCCAGCTCTCCTCGGGTGGGGTGCATGCAGATCCTGCACCAAGAGTCGCAACGGCATCTGTGAGCAGCGCATATATACATGTATATACATATCCATATGTATACCTGTACATCCCCATAATTTTGTCGTCAGCGGGTGTCGGTAAGGTGCAAATTGGAAAAACAGTGCCACTGAGTGCAATGCAGCCAGCTCTAGCACACCCCCTCGCAGTATGCTCTTCAGATTGGATGTCTTACGCTTTGCAGAAGGGAGAGGAACTTGTGGTAAACCATAGACTCTGAACAGTAAGTTTTAGCCCGCTCTCTTACACCACGCAAAAAAGCATGTTGTCCACTTCCACAATCTCACTTGCAGCTGAAACATGTGACTTGGAATTGCCCGGAACTGTCTCCCATCAAATCCAGCAAATCTTGAGCAATCTCTTCAGCAATCTCTTGAGCAACTTCTTGAGCAACATGCATTGAAACTGGCAGTAAGTTGAGCAAGCACCACAGTGACTGCAAACAGCACTCTTTGAACCGCACCAGGAGATCTGTTTGAAATTGTAGCAGCGTGATGCTCGAGCAGCACCAGTATAGCAGCTGTCCACTCTAAGACAAAGAGCTGACGGTGGTAACGGTCGATCAGGGCCATGTCAGTACGTAGGGATCGCATCAAAGGTCCAATCAGGTGCGTGGGGTCTGAGCTTCACACTCGCAAACGACAGGTTTTCATAATCTACTTTACCGAACGGTAAACATGCTCAATAGAAGGCGCTAGAACCCTGAACGCCCACATACATGCACATTGAAAACTGCACTTGAAAGACAGCTGTGTGGCAGTCTGCCTACCCGCAGGGAAGTGGCTCCATCAGCTTCCCAGTTTTCGCTCAAGGCCTAGCTCTGAGAAGGATTTTTGGTGGGTGAGCTTCATACCACATGTATGCACATGAATCTTTGTGTTGATGTATGCCTGCAGGCACAAAGGTACATATATATGGTGCATATATATATACACATATATACACCTGCCTGTCTAGCAAACAACTTGCCCTTTCTTGCGCATGCTTTCGAAAGAGAACCAGTAACCTGGCATCTGGAGTCATGCACATACAGACATTCGACGGTTCTGCGCATAGGGTTTTTGGATTTCTGGATCTTCCATTTTTTATGCGTTAGCTATTGGCTTCGGAACCCAAGGCCATAAAAGCATACATCCAAAACTCGAGTTGGGATCTACCTGAACATCTAGGGAATTTTGGATGTTCAGAAAAAGGTGGAAATCTTCGGGTATAACCAGTAGAAGTCCTGATCAGTTTCAACTGGCTTCCATATGGAAAATCGAATTTCGCAGCTTCCAAGATTGGCCGGCACTACTACTTGTAGTTAGTTATGAGTGATATACTTGCCATGGAGGTTGGCAGTCTGCATATAGCCATCTATTTCAAATGTTCAGACAGATATAAGTACACATGTAAACCAGGATACGCTAGCTTCTAACATGTAACACCTCGTATTAAGCTCGAGGTCAGATGGGGTGATACATATGTAATACGCAGCCTGAAGACATGGAGTTTGTGTAGTAAGGGCAAGGCTAAATTCCAAAAACTCCCTGAACATACCATAATATTGATTCCCTTTTTCACAACCAATAATAATGCGTATGTGTAGCATTCGCCTAGTTCTTGCAAACAAGCTAGGCAATATGCAGTTCAACATTGCTGCTCTTGTTCTTTCCACCACGTCTGCTATTAACGTCGTTCCAACAATAGTTTTGCCATCACAGTACTTTACTTCCTGTGACTGGTAGTTTGAAACAATTCTAGCGCTAGGTAAATGGAATGTTACCGTAGGTCGTATGACTTTGACTGGAACTGTGCGCTACGCAGCTTCGTATCACTCTCAGTCTTGTCATTCTATGATTGCTGGTGCAGGTGCAAAGAGCAAACTTCCCCAATTCTTGCGGTGAGTAACATGATATGAGAATTCCAAGGAGTGTGGAAGACAGCCTAGGCAGTAGCTTACACAGGAAATATCAGGAGCCAAGGTTATGAGAATTCCTCTTTGAGTTCCGCAGCCAATCAATCAAGTAAGGACATCAACGGAGAAAATCTGAAACCCAGGCTGTGTGAATTTCCATTTATTTTCAAGCCAAGGAAATGGTTAGCCGGTTAGCGGCCTAACATTTAGCAAGATCGAACATACATGTGAGCTATACCCCCAAACCAGCATTTCGCACCAAACCGTATGAAGCTATCATTACCCCTAACTGAATCATGAAGGGTCCCATACACATATACGTGTGTAACATGTCTGCACACACATGTATTTGTATACATATATATATATACACATATACGCATGTACGTATGTGTATGCGCCCGCCGTGTTGAACACGGTAGTTCCGGGGATTGCCGAGGTGTGCTGAGGGTGAAGGGGCCACCGACGCAGTTGGCGTGGAAGCCAAGAGCGCACCCGCGATGATGCAGTTGAACTTTTACTGAGACCAGGTGCCCTTCCAATTTTAAGTTCTACTGAGGATATGAAAACGATGCAGGTCGGGGTGTGGTTCTCAGATGCTCGAGCCTGTGTCGCCTTCGGCTACCTGGGCCTAAAGTACCTTGGCACTCGGTGCCATCCAAGGGCGCAAGGGTGAACTCTCTCTTCAGATTGTGCGGATCATGCAAGGTTGCTGGCATCTCCAGACGCGTCACGAAGGTGGAGCGCCGCGTTGGCAAAATGGCGCAGAGAAATGTGCAGGTTTGCATTTGAGAGCATGACATTGGTCACAGTCCAAGGCAAGCAGTTGAGAATCACACGCAGTTGATTCGGGAAAGCATGCAGATGCCGACGCCTGAGTTTGCCCAGCCAAGCCTGGTCCTGCAGCAGTCAGCGCAATCTGAGGCTTGGGCAGATTCTTGAAGCACTTGGCCACAAGGGTCAGGTTGTGAAGCCAGGGTACCAGGACACGGGCCCCACAGGAGATGGCGGTGATCCTGGCTATAGGGAAGATGTCCGCAGAGATGCGGGCGGAGTTGCTGACAAGCAGGACGGGGCTTGGCTGCTTGTGGTTTGAGGGGGTCTGTGTCGAGTCAGATGCAACAGGACGCCATGGAAGTCGAGAGCATACATGATCCCGATAGCCCAAAGATGAGAAAGCAGATGTCGAACGACAGCTTGGAGCTGTCGGGGCCCCTGTTCGCTGATATCGCGCATGCTCAACACATCACTCTGACTCTTTTGAAACGCTTTCTTCGCTGCTTCAGTACCGCATGCTTTCTTGTTCGCCCATCATGTTGTGATTGTCATTTTTGTTGGAGCGACTGCGGCGGCATTATCGGTCGTGCTGGTATCAGTTGTGGTTCTGGTAATGGTGCCGGTGCAGCAGCAGCGGCAGTGGTGCAGTAGCTGTTCCTTGACTTTTCTTTTCTGGCATTTGCTCTCGCGATTATTCTCCCCAAGCGAGGCTGCGAGAAACAGCCAGCAGCTTCGAAGTTCCCGTGCTTGGAGTGCCAGTGCCTCGCTTGGTAATCCAGCCGAAGGCGGGACGCATAGCATGGAGTTCATTGAGTTGGTGGAGGTAAGTTCAGGAGTTCAGTACAAGAACCCCCAAACCTTGAATGCTGCATGCCCCGTAAAATTCGTGCAAGCTAAGCCTAAGCCGCTGAGATGCAGTCCTTCACTTGCATATGCATTGCAGTCTGCCCGGCTCAACCCGGTTTTTGGTTAGGGGAGCATGTGGGCTGTTTTGACTCGTTGTTCGGAAGTTTAGTCCTGTTTGCCGCAGCCACTTTGGATTCGGCCACAATCGGTGATTGGGCCAGTAAATAGTAGCTGAATGTGTTGGTGATGGTGAAGCATGTGTTTGAAGTCTGCCAGGCAAAAGCTCATCTTCCTGGGCAGCTTGAGAGCTAACTTTCAGGAGCCCCTGCAGAAGAGGGAAGAGAGTACGAGGGTATGCTGGAAAGCTGACAAGTTTCACCAAACGCTCTTTCATTTGGAGGTCTGGCTGTGGATTTTTGGTCCTTCACCGACCATTTTCCGCAAATGCTAATGAGCAGCAGAAGAGGTAGCTGTAGAATCGCTTTTAAAGCATGCAACAGCACGACAAATGGTGGGAAAGCTGGTCAGTTTCGATGTTTTGCCTTTTTGATGGACGTATTGGCTCCGTTCGTGAAGAATTCTGGAATTCCAAACTTCGTTCGCCGTCAGCAGTCAACGAGAGTGAGGAGGTCCTCAGTTGGCGTTAATAGGATGGCTGCCTGGATGCTTGTATGATTATGGTTAAGACTGCTATCATGTCCATTGTTGTCTTTGGATTTATTTTCCATTTTACGCCATAGCTCTGACGGTAGAGGGTTCGCTTGTGACTTCTCCCGGGGTTCGCTTGTGACTTCTCAATTTGGTTCGCTTGTGACTTCTTGTTTNNACCCTAAACCCTGAAGCTCTACCCTAAACCCTAAACCCTGACTCTACCCAAGCCCTACCCTAAACCCTTGACCTTGACTCTGAACCCTAACCCCAGAAAACCGTGTTACCCCCAATCCCTAAATTCCTACCCTAAACCCTACACCAAACCCTAAACCCTAAAGCCCTACCCCTAAACCCTAAACCCTAAAGTCCTACCCTAAATCTCAAAACCTAAGCCCTAAAGCCCCTCCCCCCCCAAAAAACTTCCCTAAACCCTAAAGCCCGACCCTA